TCGGAGAAAAGATAGTCATTATTTGCCTTGATAAAACCGGCACAGGTAACAGGAACCAGAAATAGTTTTACATTATGTATATCAGTGTTTCTCAACCTTAGCAACTTTAAGATATGTGGACTTCAACTCCCAGAATTCCCCAGCTAGCCATGCTGGCTGGGGAATTCTGGGAGGTGAAGTCCACATATCTCTTTCCTCTTCTCAATCCACTGCATATACTATAGCTAGCTATATGCTAACTATATACAACTATATATATCAGTGTTTCTCAACCTTAGCAACTTTAAGATATGTGGACTTCAACTAAGATATGTGGACTTCACCTCCCAGAATTCCCCAGCTAGCCATGCTGGCTGGGGAATTCTGGGAGTTGAAGTCCACATATCTTAAAGTTGCTAAGGTTGAGAAACACTGATATATATAGTTGTATATAGTTAGCATATAGCTAGCTATAGTATATGCAGTGGATTGAGAAGAGGAAAGGAAGGCAAGGAGTTTTATGTTGTAGAGAAGGGGAAAAGTAGGTAATGAAACAACAAGCGGCTGTTCCGAATTACTTCCTGAAACAGAGCTTCATTTGCATGCATAGGTTTGCCATGGAGTATTGCATGGCTACTTGTGTACACAATATTGTTACACATACCAATCTGCAGATATACTTGTTTATGTATTTTATCATTCATGCTGTTCAAAAATTGCTTTGCACTGTCCTTGAAAACAGGAGGTAGGGCAAAAGCGTTGCTGCTGGGTGTTGTCCTTAATATCCATTGACACTTTGTGGCGTGAGATTGCTCAGGGAGATGATGCTGCCAGTTTGAAATCATGTAGTATGGCTTCCTGGAGATATTTTGTCTACAAATGCACATAATGAAGCAGATGAGGCTTTTGTGAGTTTGCTTATTGCCTTTTCGATGTCAGAACAGGGAAGGCAGGAGGACAAGTCTTTATGGAATCTATTGTTCCCAAAGTAAGAGCCTGTGAAGCAGGTTGCAAAAAGCAGGATCTGTGAACATTTTGACTTTGTGGATGGATCTGTTCCTTGAAGCCTGACTTTCTATTCATACATCCCTTATATTTCCATTTCTGCAGCTATGTCTGCTTTCTTCTGAGCAGTTCTGGCAGAAGTTGGAGAGAATGGAAAGTTGTAGCTATATTTGGGAAAACCGATAAATTTTACCTGTGGGGAAATCTAGAACTACCTTTCTATCCTCAGGGAACTGCATGAGAAATGTTGCTTTTTAAAAAACTTTGAAAAGTTTTTGATGCATTGAGTGGTAGCATCATACCCTGAACTTATCTCCATCTTTAGCCACCTCAGATTATGGGGCAAAGGATCTGTAAGAAATTTGGTATAACAAGCAGCAGACCATCATAACTATCTTGTTTACTTTCCCACCACTTGGTAGGCATTATTAGTCAAGACATATATTGCTGTATGTCTCTGAGATAAATATTCTACAACTTAATAACAAAGTTATTTAGAGATTGCTTGATTAGATTTGGAACTCAGATACAGATTGTCAAAGGTAGTAAGTTGCCAGATAGCTTCATGTATAAATAGGATGCAGATAGATGGAATTTAAATTTTGGGAAATAGCCGTGGCTACTACTTATATTCTTGTCAGCCCAATAAGGTAGACCAGACTAAGAAACCAATGCCATATTGGTTTAAAACCTCTTTTATTATGACAGCTGTAGTAACAGAATTTTGCAAGTCTGAATGTGCTTCCCTCCTCCCTCGCTTTATCTTTGTGTGAATTAGGGAGAGGCCTGTCTAAAGCATTTTCTCAAGTTAGTTTCTCGGAAAGGACTCAAGTCCCACTTGTCTGATTGTTGCCTTGGTAGCAGCTCTTCCTGCTGTCCTTCAAGGCCATTTTCGATGCCCTCTTCAGTTCTTAAAGATATCTTATATCTTAAATATGAGAATACTGTAGTTTCTTTACATGTAACATGCTGGAGTCTATTCATAGGCTGTAAACTAAAAATACACTATATATCTGAACTCAATTATCCTTCTTACCTTTTTTTTGCAGGGATGCTAGCAAAACTGCTAGTAGCCCACCTACATCTCCACGGCCTGGCACTATAACAGCTGTGCCATCTGCATCAACAAGCAACATGATACCACCAAGGCACCAAAAGCCTCCTGGTGCAGCAGCAACAAAGAAGAAGCAGCAACAGAAGAAAAAGAAAAGTGGGAAAGGAGGCTGGTGATCAGGACAAGTGGCTGAAATTGCTATATTTTTTCTTTTTATGAAAGCTATGAGCATAATAAAGGTCAAACAAAAACAAGGTGAATTTTTCAAAATTGTATTTGGTTTCTATAATTTTACAGAGGAAACTCCTTTTTTGTTTTTGTATTGGAACCCATTGCTGGTGGCATTATTTATTTTTGTGTTAACTGAGTACTTCAAGGAGACATTTAACTAAATGAGGACTGTATAGCAATGCTAAGAAGGGGATTGGGTTCTGATTTTTTTTTTTTAACGTAAAATGTTTTTAACATAATCTCTTCAGCTGATTTTTCTGCAAGTTGGTTGGCCAGTAGCAATGAGCATAGATTGCTGTCCACCTACCTTTATGGTATTGCATGAAAGACAAGCAAGTAAGGGACTCATACTGAAATTCCATTCTTTCCTATGATTAGAACACTCAAAACAGTTTGAGTTTGTTCTGATTATATCTTTGACCTATTTCAAGTTTTATTTCACTGAATGCAGCCAATTTACAACATTCTGACAGAAGATTTAGACTGCGACTGTTTTGTTCCACACACAAAACAAAACATATTTTCTGTTTTGTGCACTCCTAATTTTTGTTAATATTTCATTTTTCCATTTTGTTTTATAGTAACACAGAATAGAAAAAATGTGCTCTTGCTTCTCTGCTTCCCTAAGATTACACTGTTAAATACATTTGCCTAGGGATAACTTCCACTGAGTATACATTCATAGAATGTTATCATTCATCCAGTAAAGCATTTGTTGATCTACCACTTAAAAATGGCAGTCCTAATTTAACTATACATCTACTGCTTTCAAAGAGTTAATCATAAGAAAGGACAAACTTTTAAAGGGAAATAAGATCTTAGGATAATGATGTATAGATTCATAAATCTGCAGGTCATAGATTTCAAAGAACGAAAGGGTTCGAAGTGTATTTAAGCTCTTCATTTATTTATTGGACGTGGAGCTAGCATTTCTGCTGCATTATTTCACTTTCCACCAGAGGAATTGCACTATACTTCCATTATACTTATATGTGAATGGAGTAAATTTGTGTATTTGCTCTTCGCTTCTTTTTTAGTAAGCTAATAATTGCTCCCTAATCTTCTGGCTTTCAAAAAGCATTTTTCATTAGGTTCATAGATTTCATTAAATCACTACATATTGCCTGTGCCTGTGGAGACATAGCAAGACTTCATTCAGTTCCTCTCTTGTGCTAACAGTTTAAACCTGAGAAACTATAGAAAAGGAAGAAATCTGGAATGACAACTCCTTCCAGTTCTGTCTGAATCTTCTTTTTTTCCATTTACAAATTAACCGCTTGGGCACTGTGTCAGCTCCATCACTGCAACTTAAAATTTCTCTCTCCCCCCCCCCCAGTTTTTTGGGGCACTGTACAATTGTTGCAGCTAGAATCAGAAAGTTGCAGAGCTAGATACACAGGAGTACCACAGATAAATGCTGCCAAAGGAAAAAGGGGTTTCCCACCTTCAGGATAGATTGGTTTACATTCTCACATATTCAAGGCTATAGTTGATCTTTGTATGAAGCACTTATAAAGCATTGCTCACTACACTAGTGGTGTGTGCATGCATTAAGAATGAGATATAAGCATATATAGCATGAGAGAAAACAGGTTGACCTGTCCATGGCATATGGTAATGCTCCCTTCTGTTTTCTGGACTGTTTTAGTGAACTGTTCCTTGAATTGTAAAACAATTCAAAGTTCCACTTATTCAGCTTCTATCTGGGGTGTAAAACTTCCCTGAAAACACAAGCTCTCTTGGGCATCATATTTTTCCCATAAGTATGTTGGTAAGTTGCAACCCAAATCTCAAGCTATCAGTTGTTAGATACTGTTAAAATACTGAAAACTACCACTTGCATACCATTAATACAAACGGGAGTCAAAACTGGACATTGAGTTCAGAGGTCAAATATTCAACAATTGACACCAAAATGAAAAAAAAATAGTCGTTTTCAGCTGTAATATTGACATCCAGCATTTTACTGCAGTAACATTTTAAAGTACTATATCATGCTTTTGCATTTGATCAGTTTCTATATTACCTAATGTTACTTTTACACACTATTAAAAGAGTAGTTGAATTATGTTCGAATAAGGGATCCATCCAGTTTACAGCAATACTGTGTTGCTCCTGGCAAGTTCCAAGCAAACAAAAAAAGAAGGGAGGGGAGGAAAGCTGAATGGACAGAGGTTTGTTAAGTGCCAATGCACCCTTCAATTGCTGTATCATCAGTAAAAAAACAAGGTGAATCTTGCAGAAGTACTTAAAAAACGTTTTAATGTCTAATTGGCAATGGCTATTTCTTGGTGGGCAGAAAATGTACTCTGAAGGTGTTCAGAAAGACGCTAGATCTGTGTTCTGCATTCTCTCTCAGGCGGTGGCATTGCTGGAGCTCTTGAATCAAATCGTAAGGAGATTCCTTGCCAAATTAAAAAAAAAAAAAAAAAAGCAAACTGCACAGACCTGCTGCAAAGACTGAAAGCCGAACGCCATCTCTTGCCAGCTGCGATCCTTTGGCTGCCCAGAAGATCAGAGATACTTTATCACAAATCCATCCCGCTGGCTTCACCGGGGATAACTGCTCCGCAAACGAGCAGAGAGAACAACGCTTTCGGCTCCAGCAGCTACACGCGCGTGGACGCGGAAGTAAGACCACTCCGCTTGAAAGAAACACCAGGAACCCGCCTTCCGGCAGCGGCCGCTGGGGACCCAGCGGGGCGGAGCCCCATCGAGAAGGGGCGGGGCCTGGAGCCGGGCTCTGCCCCCGCGCTGGAGCGAAACGGCGCTGGGCCGGTCGGGCTTCCTCCGGGCTCGCCTGAGCTCTCTCCTCTGGGGCCATGGCGGGCAGCCTGCGGCAGTTCGCGCTGGTGGGCACTGCGGTTGCCGTCACCGGCGGGGTCGCCTACGCTCTTTGGCAGAGTTACTTGTCCTCCAAAGGGCCTCCGGGGCGCGAAGATCGGCAGTCTCGGCTCCGGCTCGGGGCGCAAGAAAGAGGAGCAGGCCCGCCGGCGGGACAGGTAAGGGCACGTGGGAATTAACTTCAGAGGCTTCAGCTGAGAGTTCCGTGCATTGAGGCCCAGTTCTTGTCAGTACAAGTCGAACGGGTAAACTCGAACGATCTGTGATTTTTTTTAAATGGTGTGTAAAGTGTTTGCTGCTTTTCTTAAAAACAGGGAAAAGTGGTTCTGATTATTATTATTATTTATTAGATGTTTATCCTGCCTTTATTATTTGTTATAAATAACTCAAGGCGGTGAACATACATAATACTCCTTCCTCTTCCTTTTTTACCCACGGCAAAAGCCCTGTGAGGTGGGTTGGGCTGATAAGAGAGTGACTGGCCCAAAGTCACCAACGATAGCAAGGAAAGGCCTGGTAAAAGTTGCTGTTGTTGTTTTAATGATGGCTGTTGGCTTAAAATTAGGTGCTGGGTTGAAATTTGGGAGAGTCAGCACTCTTGAAGTCAGAACATTTGCTCCTGAGTAAACACAGGTGGAATCAGACCACGCTGTTGATGCATGGTTTTAAAAAAAAGGATAATTGAAATTAATCTTGTTTTATCACAGGCTTACAATCAGCCAATTGATTTTGGTTCCAACAGTCACTTGGAGCAATTAGAGGGTTTTGTAAGGTGTAATTGGCAGTTTTAAGGATTTCAAGATAGTAGGAATAGTTACTATAGATCTAATTAGGGAATTGCAGCAAACATGCAACATACTACTGCCCCCAATAGAAGCATTCATGTTCAGGATGTCTGCCAATTAGGTCCAGCTCTAGAACAGGTGTCAAAAACTGAAGCAAGCAGTCACGCCTCAACTCTGGCTTTCCATAAATTTTCCCAATGGGCACATTGCTTTCTATTATTGCTGGGCATGCTCTGTTTGGGAATTGTTGTGGTTTTCCCCCTAGGCTTTGGAAACCAAAAAATAATTCTTCCATCTCAATGTTCCACCAAGTGTGGTCGTAAGCACTTTGTTTTTCAGTGATACTATTTCTGTTGCAGGCTTGGCTACAACCTGATTGCATTAGAATAAATTATATGAATAGATGGGCTACTAAAAAGCTATCCATCGACTAGTAGTTTTTCTAGCCTAAGTAAGTTTATACAGACTTAGCTTTGGGAATAAATACATTGAGGGAGAAAAGTAGCCAGGGATCTAACTCCAGATTTTCTAACCTCCTGGTACTTTTTAATTATCTGAAGGCAGGCATAAATCTTAACCATTACAGACTTCTTCAGCTCTTTGAGATCATGGAAGGCTTAGACTAAAATCAACCAGGTAGAATCCTATTAATGCAGAGTGGAAAGAGATAAGAATAGAAACTCTCCAGAGGACGAGCCCTCCCACCTTTGTTTTACCTTGGTATCTTAGCAATTTGAGTGCCAGACCAACTTTGTGGTGAGCCATTTGGAATGGTTTGCTTCATTGCTGTTGTATACGCACATCCTTTTCTTCGCTTGGTAAGTAATGTTCTTAAGAACTGGAACAGAGAGCTATCTCAATGAAATGAAACTCCAGAAGATTAAACTTAGCTTAATAGCTATGTCATTTATTTTAAGATTATTTTTAAAAAATCACACAAATAAGAACCTGGTACTCTTCAAGATATTTTTAAGAACTCTACCATTTTTGCCCATTTAAAGTCAGAGTGACTTTTCAGCCTTTTTGAATTTCTTGATTCTCTGATATGAGCAAAATGGTATTGTTCTGGCAGAGAGACTAATGAGGTTAAGTCCCTTATTGTTGTAATAGTTTCAGGACATTATTATTTCTCTTTGCCTCCAAATTTTTCTCAGACCGTCTAAATAATTTTAAATCTGTTCTTGAGTTACTTCATATATATATATGTTTTATTATATATGGGATAAAAATATAATAAAACAAATGTTGATGACTTTTGAAGGACCTACTATTGTCCTTCAAAAGTCCTACTGATCTACTATTTGGATGGAAAAAGTACACACTTATTCTATCAAAAATAGACAAGAATATTAGCACAATTTAAAAACTGGGGTTGGCTGTTTTTTTAGATATAATGGCAAAAATATTTTCCAAATATCCACAAGAATTGCAGTATTGAACTGGAGCTAATTCAGTTCCAAATGACTTCTTGGATCACTTCTATTTTTTTTTTTTTATGAATGAATTCTGACTAAATGAATCTACATCTTTCCCAGAGTATTGAGGCTTGTGTATTGAGATAATAACAATCACAAGAGTGCACTTTTGCTAGAATTGATGACAGAATCTTCCGGACTAGTAAATAAATTGCAATTTAAATAATTAAATTGAGTCTTCATAAAAAGGAATTGTAAATTGAATCCACCATTTTTCTGAATAAGAAATCAGACTGTTAGTTTAATAATTTTAATAAAATGGCAAGTGCTGGCTTCTTTGTTACCAGTTCAAGAGTATCCATGCCTTCTTTCTATCTAGGGAAAAATAAATAACAACTGTAGCTCAGAAATAGATAGAAGCTAGATTGGGATCTAATCCAGATCACCAAAAGTTTTCCACCCAATGTTGTTCAGTTGTTTAAGAAGTAGTGAAAACAAATTTATTTTTTCTTCTTTGTTAGATTGTTTCCCCACATGTTGTGTAATAACTAAGAAATAATTTTGTATTTGCATGTAAACCAGCTCAGTTTATTGTTCATGAGCAGCTCTAGGTAACTGAGTTTGCCTTTATTCCTGTCTCCACTACTGTTTTGGATTTGGCTTTACTACTAGATTTCTGGGGGGGGGGGGGGGTTTACCATCG